TAATGATGAGAATAAATTAACATTGAGTCCTTTCTTTGACAGATTTATTGATTTTTTTTAAACCTTAGGCAACTTTAAAGTTATCAGTAAAACATTTTGCTAATTGGTAAAGATTTAATGGCAGTATTTTAATCTCATTGAAGTTTTAGATAATTTTTGTAGGACATAAGAAAGAACTAATTTTAACTATTATTTTTTTTAACATTTGGTTGGCAACACATTTTGCAATTATTTTGTTTAAAATCTTAAAACGATTGATTCAATTGCAACAAGCACCGCGATATGCTAGTTAGTATTAAATTACATATTACATCTTAAATATTAAATCTTATACGTTTTAAAACAAAATACATTCGTCAACGATCACTTATCTTACCATTCATGATTCATGTTAAAGAATAAGACGAATTGTTAGACTTATCTGCGCAAGCGGGTCATAGGCGAAGCGAGAACTATTATCAATGTCAAGCTTCCCGGACTTCTAAGTGTTGATAGATGCCATCAAGATTTAACTACAAGAAACAAACACTTTATGTCTGCCATTTTACAAATAATGAATAAGAAATAGTTTTTTTGCAATTGAAGAAAGAGGCAACCATCATCAGCCAGTATCAAGCCACTGCGAACATAGGCCGTCCTCAATGTCTTCATAACAAAGAGTCAATGCTGTCTTGATATTGTACGTCAATCGATTTTAGGTAAAATGTCACCAGGTTGGTATAAATGCAAGGTATATTGACTTAGGCAGTATCATCCGGTGCAGTTATTTGACGTTGATCGATCAGTTTGCAGATCATTTCGGAGCAAGGTTGCGCATCCGCTGATACTGACATCCGGCCGCGGATCACTATGCGATACTACGAGGAACATAAGGATAATCAAAGAAAAGACATGTATCTTAGAAAAAGTATTTTTACCTAAAAATTTATCACCTTAAATTTAATGTGTTGAAAGTCCCCTAATTTACAAGGTTCAAGCAATTTTAACTTTTCCTAATTTCGCGACAGTACTCTCAGAGGGTTAGAATATATTTCCTTGTTCCTTGAAGGGCCGTTTTGAAAGAATTTTCAAGACAATAGACGTTCATTATGCGAAAAATTGCTAGAGTTGCTTTGTTACTGTTTTTAAAACATTTTACTAATACTATGGTAATGACAACAAAGAGGTTACCTTGAAGATGGCAAATTGTTGTGATATAGCAATACAGAAAATACACTCTAATCTAAAAAAAAACATAAGTTGTAAGAAAACATTCTGTTAACCAAGAGAATAAAACTAGAAGCAACAAATTATTAAACGTACAAGAGGCAAGTTAGTTTATGAATACCGCTATATTTAGACACACTGACACACGTGTTTCATTTCATCTATAATCATGCACGTCTTCGTGAGTTACGATATTCTTTATATAGATATTTGGTAAATCAGACACTTTGAATCACCTTATCAAAACACAGCTGATAACTTAAAGTGAGCTATATATTTATGCCAAACCATCCCATAATATTCCCATTTTAAACGGTTCTCCCTTTATTCTGGGGTTCATTTCTTATATTCTGGGATTTAGTTTATGAACTATTTTAGTTTTAAATTAGGCAGAAAGAACATATCGGGTGGGTTTACATCTACACTTTTAAAAAAAATCGCTGATGTAAAGATTGTACGCTGTTGAATCTGATAAATAAATTGTAGCGAAGAATTTCACGGAGCGCAGTCACGCGTCAAACGAAGAAAGTGGGATTGACGTGAAACGACAGTTGGTTCTGAAGGAATCACACATTTGATGAAACAAATATAAGTGCGCAATAGAAAGAGAAAAATAAACATGAGAATAACATAACATAATGATAGACGGTAGCATAAGATATCTATATAAAAGTTTTTTACATTTTTTTTCGCCTAATTGAAGTGAATCGTAAGTAGCACCTACGCAAATTATTTTACATCTTTTCATTTATTTTGGATCCCTAAAACAATCTATAATTTATCAAGCAATTTATTCCTTTGAAATTCAATCACTAACAAGACAGCGAACGAAATTATGTAGATTAAAGTACTGGGAAAAATACTGAAGCATCATTCGATGTTGCTTTAAATATTCTACGTCCCTTTTCGAAATTATTATAAAAGGAATTCATAACAACGGGATGAAAAGGCCGTGAAATTGCTCTAGACCATTAAGCGACGATGAAAAGTCGTAGAATCGGGAGAAAATTCGCTTTTTACCGTCCATTAGATACGTAACTGTAATTTTAAAACTTCGTTGTCGATAACGGCATGAGAAAAGTCGACAGCCTCTCTACCATCGCTATTGACTTCCGGAACGATACTGACAAAACTTATTAGTTTCAACCGTTATTGACTTTTTCGCTCATAACTGTAGAAGAAAATCACATCATATTTTCTTTTATGAATTCAACATTGTAAACGGCAGTGACAATCTCGTTACAAGAATGCTTTTCTCGTGCCTTTAGAAAAGAATCTAATACATTTAATATTGTAAATGAACAATTGGATATTTAGTAAGGAGAAAACCCTTGTAAAAACAAAAACCATTTATATCTTTTAGAGTAGAAAACTTTTTGCCTTATTACAGAACAACGTATGAATAAAAGATTCCCTGGAGCAATAGTGGATAAGAAAAAAAATATAAAGAATATAATATGAAAAAAAGTTGAATAGAATGTTCTTTTGTACCTATCTTTCTTATTGTGTAACATTTGAATTGTTTTATCGGGTGGATTAGAATAGTTCTGGTCTGATTTAATTCTATAGTTAGGATAAATTTTCATATTATACCTGTGTTGGGATTGCTGATTGGTTTTTGAAATTCTTTGTTATTTCATACTAAAGAACTCCAAACTCTCGTTGATGTATTCGGCTGACCTATTGACATTTTAGTTTTTCTTCCTCAACGAGTATGTGTCTGTCAAAGATTATATTTGCTCAAAACAACCTGTAATTTTTTTTTAAATTCCAGGAAAATTTTACCAATCCTACTCTTTTTACCAACCTAACTTGTCCAAGACAATTTACCTTAGAGCTATATTTCAAGGAATCAAAACTAAAATATTAGGTCATCTCACACAATATCAATATGAAGTATTTCAAACAACAATCGCAAACATTTTTCGCTTAACAATTGTATTAACATTTTGCATAAATAATCAAATTTACATTTTATGTTTAAACAAATGAAAACCGGTTATCTAAAATAAAATCGATAAAGTTGGGATCGAGACATTTTGTTGATGTAATATTACTCTGAGAATTTGTACTTGTTTACGATCAAACGACCTTCCATTGTTTTCTGCCCCCTCCGTTACAAGCAAAGTTAATTAAGGACAAAGGCGATATGATCGCTTGTCAGTCTAGACATATATTAACAAATATTTCTACAAAATTTTATACTAATTAAATTCACAATTTACTATAATAATTTGAGACCTTTTAATGTTCTTAGGTAGATTTTGAGATGTAGCTGAATATTACCAGTGACCATGTCTCCTACTTCACTATGACAAGAACATAATATTGTTTGGGGATACCCCCATCACAGTGTATAAATAAATCATGTAGTAGACCTCCGGCAATCTAAAGCATTGAAGCATTAGATGTCTTATTAATTAAAATCGAAAGCCTAGATAATTTCACTTAAGTATATTAATCAACTAGCTTACACCCGCGAATCCTTCCGCGCGGAATTAAAAACAAACTTAATAATTAGCCTATGTGTTCTTCCAGACTATGTTTTACATCTTTGCCAAATTTCATCAAGATATATGCAACCGTTCCCGAGATATCTTCAAACAAACAACATCCATCCATCGATCCATCTCAATATTTATAATATCAGTAAGATTCTGTGATGTTATAAGATTACAGGACACACAACAATATGTACGGTAGCGACAAAGTTTGCGTCGCAAGGCGTACTGGAAGAGACTCCCCAGACGAGGATTCCTACATATTTAAACCATCTTACGCATCGTCTCTGGAAACATAGAGACACGTATTACGTTACATTATTAATTGCTACAGGGAAATGTATAGTGCTTAATTACATTTTTCTGTACAATACCACTTTGAACACAATTGCCCGACATTATTTAGTGACTTGTCTTCTATATGAAGTGTGAAATTTCTTCCTCGCCTTGTCATTATCCACAAGTGTCTGTTAATATAAATTTATCATTCAACATTTCAGTCGTCACTCCCTTCGTAATCTAGAAGTTAATAAAAAACGTTAACGAAGTCCTTATTCCATAATAAATTTAAGCGTAGATTTAATGAATTTAAGGTAAATTACAAAGGTGTATAACCAGTAAAGCGTAAAGTAAGGACACGATCCGACACTAATTAAATATTGCCCAAAAAGATTTGGATTTAAGGTGGTTTTAAAAGAAAAGCCTTGTCACGTAACTAAAATGTTAATAGTTAATTTTAGCACAAATCGCTATTCGCATTGTTATTCTTTTTTTTTTCTATTTCATTATATCTCATGGATAATAACATAAATAACCTTTGTACTTATTTTTATATTATTCTTAAATAAATCTCCTGTATTGTTTGAATGATCGTTTTTTTTATTTATTTATTTATTTTTCATACAAAAGATTTCACAAAGAATTTTATCTCGCCAAGCTGTAATGCTTTTGCTACGTACATTTTAAAATTCTTTATGGTTATTATTATTTTATTTTACCTATATATTGTGTGCAAAAAAAATGAACGAACACATCCATTTCCATTTCACGTTTAATGGACTAGCTTAAATGAGATTGCAAAGATGGCGTTAAATTGTAATTTGATGGTGACGAATCAAAGGCTCTGCGCTGTTTTGACCTCGATGTAACTAAATATTTTTTTAAACATTACTTAAAATATCTTATGCGGGTATTCACAATATATGAACTATTACACCATTAAATTAATTACGGGGAACGATAAAAAATAATTAATGATGTTTAATTTTAAGTAATGAAGCTGGAAATTCTTACCTTAATTCATGAGCTTGTCTCGATGAGCTTGAAATAATTGACCTGCAGCAAAAAAGACATTAAACGGTTAAGTTATAATTCTTTATTGTTTTATATTTTTTTAATGAAAAATTTTTTAGCAGATTTTCATAAATTTACTAATATTTCTTGTACCATTCCAATTAAGCTCTACGCATGTGCTATGACATGGTTTACGACAATAGTCGAATGGCGAGATTCGAACCCCCGACTTCGTGATCGGAAATCCGTACCCTTAACCTTTAGACAATTGGCGCTTAAATATAACTAAGAAATAATATAAGTAAGAAGTAAGATTTTATAATGCCTATTGTATATTTTCGGCCAGTTTAAATAGAGATCAAACGCAATACAATTTGTATACAACATACATGCGTATGGAAATTAAATTACTAGTGGAAAAAGGTTTTTAGCCAACTTCAAAAAGAAGGTGGAATCAATTCGTCTTATCTTTTTTTATATTATTGTCCCGGGTGTTAAGAGGCCTGAATTCTAAGATGGCGTACACAATAGCTTCCCTCGAAAACGTTGCGTCAAGTTTTTCACATCGAGACGAGTGGCAGGCGAAGTGCAAAGTTAAAAGTGTTCACTGGAGTTATGATTATAAATGATACAGGGGTTGAGCGTATGAAAGGAGTAGACATATCACTTACTCGCGACAAGCAAATGGAAGTGCGGGTTGTCTGTCTAAGGGTACACGGGTGATGTAAGTCTTAGCTATTCGAGTCTACGTTTTACAAAGATAGGATAGTTTAATGTGCATTGTTTTAATTAACGTATAACATAAAACCAGAAATAAAACCCGTACGAATGCCTTCTATAAAATGAAAACTAATTTTATTCAACCCAGAATCAGAATATGTACTTTTGCTTTTTAATTGCTATTACACCTAAAAAATTTATTTAATGACGGAAAATCGTTTGAAACAGATTTAATAAGAGGCAGTAACAATTTTTATAAACAACAACGGCTCAAAATGAGCAATGAAGCACACGACGCTCGTTATCTGAGACGACGTAACGTGCCGTAATCAAAACTAAACAACAAAGGCCTTTTCGTAGCTACGAACGGAGCCCGTGCTTATGCGATAGGTATCAGCTGCTATCTATAAAGTGGGTCAGCAGAGTAGACACGCGATGAGCTCGAGCCGAATTCGAACAAGAACCGACTTCGTCCACCATTACCGTATCATGTTTTTTTTTCAAAAAGGTAAATCTAACGTATACATGCATTTTAAAGATAAGCATATTGAAGGATACCTTAGGAAAAGATTGAGAGTGTTGTGCAACTGTTTGAGATTTTTTTTTTCAAACACAAAATGACGTCACATTGTAGTCACGTCATTGAACGTCTGTAGAATCTGAATTATTGTTTTTTTTTTATAAATTAGTTGAGAAAATTTCCAATATGTTTTATTTACTTTTATTAACATTAAGATATGAAATGTAAGATTATTAGATCACCTTTTATCATTTATTATTTACATTCATTTTATCTATGTATATTTTATTACTGATGAGTAAGCGAGCACTTGGAATCTAATGTTTGATTTGATATAACTCTGCATTAGTTTGTATAAGCATTTATAAAAATAACATAACATTCGTTACTAAACATAAACTTTTCAATCCTAATAGATCATAAAAATAATAATTATTGACCATTAAAAAAGGAATTTAAAAACTATGAATCATAAAACAATAGCAAAGCAAGAGTATAAGATTGTTTAAAATATAAGCCAAAGTAAACATCTAACTAATGCTATGAATGCGAAAGTTTAGATGGATAATAGAAGATACCTCGAAAATCGCTAAAGGGAACTCGTTAAAATTTGGTTTAGAAATAGAACATAGCCTGAAAGAACTCATCATCAGCTCACTATACGTCCCCACCGAGGGGCTCGGAGCCTACCCTAAGTTGAGGGTGATTAGGTCATAGTCAATCACGCTGGCCAAGTGCGGGTTGGTTGACTTCACACATATCTTTGAATTTCTCCTCAGATATGTGCAGGCGCCTGGTAAAGCGGGTCACTGATACGTGATGACCACGAACAGTCTGACAAGACTGCAACGACGAAGAAGAAGAAGAAGAATGTGCAGTTGCATCACAATGTTTTCCTTCACCGTAAGAACGTCGGATAAATGTACATATGTAAATCGGAAATTGAAAAACACTTTGGTACATGGCGGGATTCGAACCCAGGACCTGCAGATTGCAAGTCAAGTGCTTGACCACTAAGCCACCGACGCTCCTGAAAGAACTCATAGGCTACTAATTAAGTTTTTAATCCCGCGCAGATGGTCGCTGGGGCGAGCTAGTAAATTATAACGAATAAACGCGACTAACATTATGGGGAGCATAATCCAAAAAATACGAATAGAATGACCTTATCTTTCAAAACGGTTTACGTTAGAGTCGGTGAAAATAGGCATTACATACGCATACTTAATTAAACTTATCTATACATATAAATATAATTGGAGTGTCTGTTTGTAACATTAAAATAATCGTTTTTACTTCATTATATCAACATTTAATATATACGGGCACATACACCAAAATAATATATTTTACAATTTTAGTCTGTCTGTCTGTTTGTTTCTGCTCTCTCTCTCTCTCTATATCTGAAATGACTGGACCGATTCTGACAGGACTTTTAATCGCAGGTAACTGATGAAATAAGGAGTAATTTAAACAACGTTTATTTTAGAAAATGTCTTTTACTCTAGAAAAACAATGTTGCAGTGTGTGTTTGTAGTGTGCAGTGCAACTCAAAGACAGTATTTCACGCGGACGAAGTCACGGGCAGAGATAGTAAATTCTATAAGTCGAGGAAAAATTGCACAAAAGCATATTAAAGAGTGCTGATCAAATATTGAGTTCCTGGTACACTGAGTTTCCTAGTAATTTGAGTTCGTAATAAGATCCTTCAGTGTACGATCACGTTCAACATTCCTAGACTCGACTTGCTGCATATGCATGTAACTGCACCTTAATCAATGTAATTAAAAGCTTCCTGGCGCCAGACACTTTTAATTAAATGAATATTTTTATATCAGTTCATCGATTCAAGGATAGATTTAAAGTTTCGGCTACCAATGTTGTAGTAATTTTTACTTTTTATGTATAAAAGTGTGATAATTTTAAAACTCTAGTAAGTGTTTTTTTATTTGTGTTATATTTCAATAAGGTAAATAATATCTTTAAAATACCTTTCATAATTTAACATTAAATAAACTATAACATAAAATATCGCTTTTGTGTAAAAAAATAAAATATAAAAAGATTCTTTTTCAAGCAACGTTTTATTGTTAAAGTTTCACTTCAGCACACGTGAAACATCACTGGATTGAATACATTTTATTGTAAAAAAAGTTATAAGCCGAGGATGCTACAAAAATGCATGAACCTGAACTGTTATGTGATACTTGAAATAAAACATACTTTTACTCTTCCACTAGCTGTCGCCTGCGACAGCGTCCACGCGTATTATAAAAAAAATAAGTATACTATGTGTTCCTCTAGACTATGTTCTACATCTGTGCCAAATTTCATCAAAATTGCTGTTCCGGATATACCTTCAAACAAACATCCATTCGAACATTCGCATTTATAATATTAGTAAGAAGTAAAATTAAAACATATAAATTCGTATTCCTGCCGCTCTTCTTTGATCTTTCGAATTGAATAACAATTGTATTTCGATTTCATTGTAACATTAATATAGTCACTATTAAAGAAAACAATACATTGACACTTTTGAGAACGCTTGCGAGTAGTTTGCATGTCAAAGTTATTTCTTCATTCGATTTTAAATTAAGCGGTCGATTAACTTTGTACGTGTTTGTCATTTAAATATTTAAAAAAAATGCAGCTATTATAAAACTATAGTGTTCCATACAGGAAACAACTTACCATTGTAAATTCTTGCCACGGTTTACAATTTAAAAAGAAATAAAACTGTTGAACCGAAAAATGTATAAAGGTGTGTGTTCGGTTGATTTATTTAACAACTAGCTGTCGCCCGCGACTTGTTCAGTGCGGTTTTTAAAAAAAATTGTAAGTAGCCTATGTGTCCTTCCAGACTATGTTCTAATACATTTAGACTTTCGCATTTATAGTCTTAGTAAGAAGTAGGATTAAATATAATATGATGGATAAGACCATTTTATAAAAACTATTAAGTAACCTAATTGAACCTACCTGTGAAGATCCAGTAGTAAAAGACTGTACAAAAACATCTTTCGTTTCGCTAACTTCCTTTGAATAGGTAGAGATAACAATATTTTTTGAACATGTAATTAAAAAGCGGTAAAAGAGCGCATGCGCATATGACTTTTCTATGAAAGTTTACGTCATGAGTTGAACTATTGTTAAAAAGTTATACAAGATTCGATTAGTATCTAACTAAACCTTTAGTATCTTTAGATTACGGTACTGGGCCTTGAAAGCTACATACAGACGAACTTTTTCTTTAGTACAGGTACTATGTTTTCCTTCGATTATATTAGCCTTTTTTAGATTCATACAATCTGGCAATCTGGATTATATTTATTTTTATAACAGAAGGGGGCAAATGAGCAGCAGGAACACCGAGGTGTTCAACGACGCCCATGGACATCAGCAATACCAAAGGAACCGCAGATGCGTTGCCGGCCTTTGAGATAGTGATAAGCTCGCTTCTTGAAGGACTATAACGATTTCTTAGTTAATTAGTCAACTGGTAATATATTGTATTAATTAAAGCACATTCTAGTTGCAAGTGTCATTAGGGACAATCTGTCAAGTGTATAAATTGCCCGCTGGATTCATCAAGATTAATCGACCAATGGCATGTGACACTTCCCATTTGGTCACAAATGTCTCATGACATTAGTGTGTTCTAAAAAAATATGTGATAGAGGACGTAATATTGTGATAAAATGACTGATTATGAATTATTCAAAAAAACATGAACCTCTACTGATAGAGGCGTTTACTTACGATACTCCTGACAAGACGACAAATCGAAAGAGATGAGTTCTGTTCAAAATCGGTTCAGTTGTTTAGGCTCTAGGCCGTTATAAAGGAATTTACATACTTGAAAACAAACTTAAAAACATGCGCAAGTCGGGTAAAAACATTTTTATCTTTGTTTTTTTCGATGTGAATGAAAGAGATGACGATAATCTTTATACAAGTTTATCGACAGTAGAGACCCATAGGATGAGTCACATTTCGCGGTTGCTACGCGCTGTACTTTCGCGTGGAACGGTCGGTGTCCGACGATGACCTAGTCAAGTTATGTAAAGCCTTGTCTACCTTGGAATTCTGAGAATATTGTGAGAACCGTGTACCTTTTTTACTGTTCGTTTTTACTTCATCCGAAAGTAATATAAGATTAACAACAAATAACAAGCATGTAATGTTAAAAAATAGGTATTCATATTCCTGACCTAATAAATATCGTTCAACATTTCAAAGGTCATTAGGTCCTTACTTCGAAGTTTGCTATACACCAAGCAATAATAATATTAAATGACTTTTTTCTACGTAACAGAATAAATTACTGCCAAGAGACCATTAGAGTGTTATACTTAAGTTGCAAGAAAACTTTTACTTAAACTAGTTATGTTTTTATGCTATTAAAAAGCGATATTACTTCGGTCAGGGACCCTGGTGTTTTGTCGCAGTGTATGACGCTGGTGACGTCATCTACAGAGGAAATAGACCGTAACCATAATGACTATGACAACTTCCTATACGCCTAACGCTTACGGAAGCAAATATGTTAATTTCTTTGGTGACAGTGATTCAATCGTGCGGTAAGTTTATTCACCTATTAGTTAATTGTTTTATAAGTATTTATAATCCAAAATGGCTTTGAAAATATCAGAACGGTCAATAAGAACAAATTAAATGTTAGAACAGAAATCTAAAAATCTTCGCACAAAAACTATCAACGTAATCAATGGTAGAGCCCGCTTTAACATCTTCGCACGAATTGGCCCGACTCTCCCGGTGAAATACCATAACCACACAGAAGACATGTGTGAAGACGAAGCAATTCCGCGTTTCGTCCGATGACTGTGCGTACAGGAGGTGATTTAGTCCTCTTTCCCTTCCTTCCCTTTTTTTTATGAGGAAAGGATGGGAAGCGGACTTTCCGGATGAGAGGATGCATGGCAAGGTAAAATATTTTCTTTCCGAGCATCCTTTCAGGCCACGCATATGCAATTCCGTATGTCTATGGGCAACGGTAACTTTGTTAGTTCAGCGATTTCAGGTGGCCGCTCGCTCGTTTGCCACCTTATGATATAAAAAACTATCAAAGTTCTTTCTATATTCATGTAATTAAAATGTAAATTACAAAAGTATGTTGTCTTGCTCTGTTTCTTACAACAAGAGAGCAATAAACGCTGATGATGTAGGGTCAACAGACGCTCCAGTTTATATACAATGGAATTGCGGGGGCCAATCCTTTGCTCATTCCATACGCTCCCATTGCCCGTCGGGTTCATTGTGGCAAATAAAGTGATTAATTCAGAACAGAATAGCGTTCACCGATCCATTTCGAATTAGGGTCACTATTGACACTGCTAGCTTTGCGTCATCGAAAATATTGAATGAGATGGTTTTATGACTATGCCAACGGACGCACAGCGAGTTGTATATTGTTCACTTAAGCAATCATTAACTATTTGAGATCTATAGTGTAAGTTTAGTGATAAAATGTACAGCAAGGAAGATCACTGAATTGTAGAGCGGCAGTGTAAAATTGAAGAGTCCGTATGCATAATCGAAAAAATCTGTATTTAAAATGCTTCATCACCATAAAGTCGTTTTTTTTTTCATTTTGTGCTTATATCTGTCCGCTAATCTACGTTTAGTCCTGATAATCTCCGAAACGGTTGGACTAATTTTGACGTGACTTTTATTGGAAGCTAATTGATATATGCGGGAATAACTTAGGCCATTTTTTTTTCATCATGCGGTGATGAAGTCGAGGGCGACCGCTAGTAAGATATAAATTTCTTTGTGGGTTGCGGCATCTAGTATGTACATTGCGACATCGAGACACGTGAATTATCTTTGGTAAAATTGTCCCCGATATCAAAATGTTTACGTGACCTGTAACAGTAGTTACGTAATATTGTTTACTTCGTTGTACGAAACTGATAAAGAAGAAATTCATATCGAAATTCAATCATACGAAATTAATTCGTATTACGTATAATTTTCTTACAAAAATTCCTAAAATGTACTTCATCTACTCTGTACTAAATATCCATCTTTTTAAATGTTTTGTTTTAGATAAATATAAAAGCTAAGCTAAAAAATCAGCATCTTTTGTACCTTTGCTTACTTTACCTTTCAATTTGCCCAACATACAATCATTGGATTTGATGCAAATAATCACTATATTTCTAAGTGATTTCTACATTACGTTAATTTGATTTATTTTTACTCTATTGGTTATATTTGGATTTATTCTAACACGTTAACTTGCTATCTTTCGAAGTGCAATGACCCCATGACGAAGTCGAATGCAAGTTGTGAGTTAAACTACTATTGTTCCTTTTGGCTGGTATTTGTTTTATGAATGCAAATCCAACTATAGCACCAAAAAGATTCTAAAACTATATGTATTTCTTGTGCACAGTTGATGATTTTTATTTCTTATCAATTTCACTGAAATTATATTTGAAGTTTACAACTAGTTATAATTGTCATTATATTAAATTATAGTTCTTATAGTACTCCTTTTTTTTTAAGTTGGCTAATAAAATAGCAATCGCCCACGACTCCAATCATTTGGGACTAGAAACACCTAATAGCCTATGTGTTCATCCAGACTATGTTCTACATCCAAATCAAATTTTATTAAGATCCATTGAGTCATTCTAGAGATACACTCTAACAAACATCCATATATTCAAACATTCGCATTTATAATATTAGTAAGAAATAAGAAAGTAGGATGATAAAATTACAGATTTGTCAACTGCTTTATAAAATACACATAGATATTATCAATAAGTTAAACTAGTCCACAGTTGCGTGTGGTGCTATGCCCACGGTTGGCCGACACCCACACTAGCAACATTTCTAATAAACGGGTTCTAACATGTAACATGAGATTTTAATTCACTATCAGTAGAAAGTAAAGAATTGACAAATCAAAGATAATAATTAGTAACTAGAAGATAAAAACAATAGAATAAATTTCCTGTAGTATGTAAATTACATAAAGATTTGCTGGTATTGTTTCTGGGAGTAACATCCATAACTCTAAACCATATCTTTAAGGCTAAAAGATTTTTTATATTAGTTACTATGCTGATCAAACTGTACATAACTTTGCTTTCAACATTTTATTAAAATAAAGTAAAAAAACAATACACATAGACTGCAGATTTGAGAAATTTATGTGTACAATATTTTGTAAAACAAGTAATATCCATTCAAGTTCAGTTAAAGCAACAATTAAATTAAATAATCATTAGAGCCGAGTTACCGTGGGTTGCTGGGACTAAAATCTTTTTTAAAACATATTGTTATCTTTATTTTGACAATGATAATGACAGGGACAATATGTTTTATACTGAGATTTTGGGCTCAGAAAACAATGGTTATTATATCAACTTATCTCTTCTTAAGGCTACCTTTGCAATAGCCAAAGTAAGTTTTTACAGGACCACCAAAAATTCATCATCAAAAATTGAGGCCTAAATATGCAAATCGGATAAAATGGTTCAACTCATTTAATTTACCTGAAGATTTGTGGCAATAGTACAAACCTATCCATGTAAGTCAAAAAAAGGGTACCAAATAGAAAATATCAAGAATAAACAAAGAACCATCTTTTAATTAACATATTATCTCATAACTTATACCAAATATATTTTGACACAGTACAATGACTTTTACTCCACATTAAAATAAGAAGCTTATTAGTAAGAAAAATATAACTTTTTATTTTATGTTAAAACTGAAGTAGTTAGCATCATAGTGTTGGTTAAACTTGGTTTTATAAAGGCTTTTATGATAAAATTACAAATCTGAATGAACATAGGACTATATCAAATGACTACAAAGTATCTAATATTAAATTTTAAAATTATACATTCCATGAGAGAAAGAAATCAAGTTTTACTAAAGTATTTAAGGCTTTTTGACAAAAGTTTTAATTTCTTGACATCGTAAGGTAGAACACCTGCTTCTCAGTTTAATGCACCCGCTCAAAACTTTACTCGTATACCTCTTAACTAGCATATTTGTATTTAAACTGCATAAACAATCAAGAAACTTTACAGAAATACTTACCAAGTTTCTTAGTGTGTACAAAATAAAAAAATAGTTTAAAAACATAACATCACACAAATCTATCACTCACACAACACTATCTTTATCATATCGCCATCGCCAATATCCCTGGGCGGGCACACCAACAAGCCAATCGGATTCGAAATCGGAATCGGAAGCAAATTCAAGTTTGACATTAAGCTTGTGTTCGGAAACGAGCACAGATTACACCGAATATACGGTGAAAGGATAAAACTTTCCATCAAAATATAATATCAACCAAAGTAAAGCTTATTGTACAAGACAGTACAAGAAAAATAGAAAACCTCGCCACGAAACGGAAAACCTATGGAACTAATTTTGTAATTGTGTAATTTTTGAGTGCATTATAATTTGATATTCTGTAAAAAAGTGAAACCGCTGAGAAATAAATGTTTAGAAAATTAAAGTAGGATAACTTACAGAAAAACTAGATTTCATTTTAAATAATTTATCATAACTTGATGCAGTGAGAAGTGTTGCTATATTAATGATAATTTTGGCGCCATGGCGCCCTCGCAGAGTTTTTATTATTTACTTTATCAATCATTGAATTTCTACTTTTCTCAAAACAGCGTTCCAGTATTTTACAACTTGCACGTTTCTGGTTACAAGATTTACTTATAAAATTCGGAAATACTACACAAAGTTAAGGTAAAAATATGAAAATTTCACGGAAGAGCCACCTATTGCGCGACTAGTGCAACGCTTATTTTAGTTTTTGAAATTACTGCCATCTAACATTTCTAACGTAAACTACATTTCTAAGTGAAATTAAGTTTAAATACGAGAATATATGCGCTGGAATTAAATTTTCTTGGTCATATTTGTATAAAATATTTTGGTAAAGCAAACACAAGATGGCGTTACGATGCAGATTTAGGAATGAAAATGGTATAGCTATACGGATAAAGACCTGGATGCAGATTGGAAAACAAACTAACGGTAAATAATTTCTGATTCCTATATAAAACCGCAAGTTGTTTGCCCAAAGGCTCCTTGGGTCCTTCAAAAGGTGACAAGCATTACCCAATCCTACACTACATTTAAAATATGTAAGTATAAATCGATTATTTTTGATAAAATACAAAACGTAAATTAATTTTATCAAACATCTGTGATAGTTCCCAGAGAGAGGCCAGCACGGGACTTTGCTGTTGCTATAACGAGCTGTCACCCTACTGAGGGGGTCCGACATAGACACACACTATCTCATATTTTATCTATTTTCACGGATTTCGCGCCATTTCATTATTTCAACGACTCAACTGTAAACATAATGTGACGTTTATTTATTTCCCCAATGTTTAAATACATTTAGGGACTATTTTCTCATGTTTGTAGATTTCACGTAATTGTTGTGTTGATTATAACATGTCATGAACAGTAATCGAAAACAAAAAGCTAAATTTACAAAGGTGAGGGTAAATGTATATTTTTATCCTAATAGTAATAAAATATATAACAAAGAGAAGTCATTAAAAGTTATACTTTCAGTTGTTTTCTGGAATTAAAAAGAAATGTTAAACTAATCGCATAGATTTCTTAAACTTCTTTTTTTTAATTGGCATCCCTTGTGTTACACGGTAGGTTCTCGTACCTATTGTGAAATCTGTAACGACAAAGGCGAGTCACGTGGCGGGACCTTGTGACTCGAGTAAGTCGAGAGAAATTATATTTAGAAATGATTTTTTTTTTAATTTCTAGAACAATGTATACGAAAGTTAGCAGCATGTAACTGGTTTCTCTTAAAGTTAGTGCGCAATATTCACCTTCCCCTTACTTTATAGGGGTTCGTTGTTATTTCTAACGAAAACTTAATCGCGCGTGCAACGAAGTGCCATGAATTTCGCAAGTCGACTTAAACGTTTTGACAAGCGTACGCATTTACATTATATCGTCGACTGTTCACCGAGTCGGAAAACTTACAATTAATATTAAAACATGCGCTATAAAATGAAGGCAAGTAGTCGGAAAGTATTCGCGTCAGTCGAGCTGTGCTTTTGACATGGCCATTATTTTATTATACGTATAAAAGATACCAAGCGACAAAGACAAGACACGCTAATATTAATCTTATGAACAAAGAGTTAGAGACAGAAATGGCATATCATATAATAATTCAGAGGTTGAAAACGTTCCTCTATGTCCAAGGCGATGAGCAGAACGATGCAAATGATGAGAGTCCGGGTTTTGTTGTACAAAATGTAAAACGGGTTACAGAAATACAGTTCTTCTTCCAAACATATGTGATTTGTTATTGTGTCGATTCTTAACCCGAAGATTAAATAGATTTTGATTAGAGCAACTGTTATGGTTGAAGAGTCGACGTAAAGGTGATTCGACATTGTAATATTGTTTTCATATCAAGTCTATAGTTAAATCAATGTATACACAAATATATAGCGCTATTCACAGTGAAAGCTAGATATAACAAAATTAGTTTGTCTACGCAATAGTCTTTAAATTCATGTAAGATTTAGTTACATTTAGATTTGCCTTTTATATTTATTATAAAATATCAACGTAGAGAAATAGAGGTCGAAGCGAGGCCAGGGCCGCTGGGGGCGCATCGGAGTATCCACAATTTCACATCATCACTCCGTCCACCAAAGCAATCAGTCCGAGTGCATACGTTCGTATGTAAATGGGTCCAGAGATACCGAGTTTTCTAATGTAATTGACAGCTAAAATGGAATTGTTTCGACTTCGCAATCTATGGACTCTAACGAAGGGTTTACCCCCATAAGGTTTAATAAACGCTCAACGAGGGGTTCATTTTGTTAATATACGATTTAAATATTCAACTCGAGTGTTGGTATTGATAAGATCGGGGTTAAAATAAGAATTTCTTTGTATTACTACGGTCTCATTTAAATATTTTTTAACTGTAAAAAGTTTGTATATATTCTACAAATTCTATATTTCGTACTGGATGATAATAAATTATTCTAAATTTTTACGCAACAAATTCTATTTTAATACCATAATATCGTAGAAATAACCAATTAAAGGAGCCGATAAAACTGAAAATAGAATCTGAATTGTTCAACCTATTTTACTTATCTCCCACGGCTTTTTCTTGTTACGTTACGTAGGAATTAATATGAATATTTCTGTAAACGACTATTGACTAAAAGAAATCTAATCAGGTACTACATTTTTCCATGATTTCAAACTTTTTAAACAGTTAGCTAAGACTTGTCTTAAGAACCGCAGCGTGTTCTCATGAGATTTAGTTCGATTCCATCGTATTAGCAGATTGGATGACCAAGCTGACGGTCGCTATAAAATCGGCAGCGTGAAACGTTTCAAGACACTTCATTGAACACCCCTTTATCCTTTTCAATTCTTTCTTTTATTTTTAAATTTATTTTTTAATAATATTAATTTCAAAACTACGACCAAACTTACATGTAACATAAATAACGTCAAAAAATATAGATTTTAAAACATAAAGGTTGAATGAATAGATTGAAATACAAAAATATTATCAGCAATTTGTTCGTATGTTGTATCGTAACGAATAGTAAGATCTTATTTATAATATAGTTCTTTATTAGAGACAATTCATTAAAGATTTAAGCAGAGCTGTTTATTACAACAATGACTTGACATTTATCACCGTTTATTAAAATAAATTTAGTTCAATGGTATAAAAGTGAGAAAAATTAAGGCAGGGAAGTGGAGCGAGATGGGCCATGCTTATTGCTCAATTGTGTAATCCATTTCGAGTTAAAGACGGATGTTAGCTGCAGTTTTATGACAATAGCTTGCGTTAACGACCTCTTTGCCGTTCATTTAGTATAAAAGTACATGTTCCTGTAGTTTGTATAAAATGGAGTAGTACGTTATATCGTAATTTGAGTTTGAAGTGTTCCGGTAGAATGGCAATATGTTTTTATTTCTCAATTAATGTAGCGATATGAGGCTGAGGAAAGTCTGTTTTGTATTTATAGATCAGCATTTTTTTCTAATCCGGTGAGTATAAGTCGAAGTTAATTATGCTAGCTCACTAGCGCCCTGTCGATGTCAAAATAGTGCGAGAAGATTTTTGATAACGGATTAACCGCGATAACAGCGCCTCTCTAACTAGCCCAGATAACCTTTTCATGCTATGTTTACGTTTTTTTGCTGTTCTAATAAATATTTTATACATAAAATATAATCTCATACATATTTAAGCATTTGATATAGTTAGTTTGATTGTGATTTATTTGTTTTTATACATTTTAGTAGAAAATACTTTCATGAAACAGTTTTACAGCTGTACGTTCGAAGTCGGTGGCGTTTCGTGACCGTCTAGCGTTGCAATGGTTTAGCACGTTGTAAATTGTACCGTAAAAAATACAATGTTGCCATCATTTCGGCGGCCCACACAAATCTTGCACTATAATTTATTACACAGGCAACCCCGAAACAATGGCGTAATGCATTATTAAGTATAGGGTTTTATAACTACATATTAGGTTAGTTTATGATTTAAGATACACATCATATCTATAGAATATTTTTTCCGACAAATGTTATATTGCGTGTCATTAAATTAAGTTTGTAACAATTATTCTTTTATTTATAATGCCAATAGACTACATTAATTTTAAGCATTATAGTAACTAACTGTCACGCGCGACTCTGTCCGCACGGTATTTAAAAAAAAACTGAATTAGTAGCCTACGTGTTCTTCCAAATTATGTTCTACATTTTTGTCAAATTGCAGCGTGGTACATCTAGACTTGCTATAGATACCTTCAAACAAACATCCATCCATCCATACATCCAAACATTCGCATTCTGTGTTAAGTATGCTTAAACTAGGGATAAACATTGTACAAAGTATAATAACTTGGGCAAAGATTTATGCAAAAATGTAACAGGCATTCATGAAATAATTACGGTAATTTCGCAATTTCATATATGATTATTTTTTAATTAATATTTTGTCTAAACTAAATAAATAATACTTGATTGGATCTGTGTTTTAATTTGGTATTCCAAAGGTTGATCTTCATATAGTGAGCACTTTATTTATCCCTTGGCGCTGTTTAATGCGTTGTTTTAAAGCCTTAAGGTCCGATTTACCACTTGTGCTTTGGATGAAGATTGAGCCAGGAGCCCTAACAGTTTTTTTGTGTAGGTGTAAATCTTAAAGCGCATTTACGAGCTTCTAAGTTACGGTGCAAGGGATAAAAGGTTGGCGATTGTAATAAGTATTAAGTAAAAAAATAGACACTCGGTAGGGACATAAACGACCTGACAAGGACAATGATTAAAAATAAAATATGGATTTAAGTAGAATGTTCCTGAAATTTTGGCGTTTTTTAAATTAATTTGTTTAAACTTTATAATTACTCCGGTATCGGCACTGATCAGTTTTGAACTCATCGACAGCCTTTCTTCAGGGTCCTAAATACACGTGAGCTTCATATTTAGTTTAGGAATCTGAAAAATTCTGATATTTTAGACATCATATAGCCTCTTTATCCTTATTACAATACTTCTGATTGATCATAAGTTGTATTAATAATTGAATCATGTGAACAATTTGGACCACTAACAATCGCTGGCCGATGCCATAACAGCCATGAACAGTAAAACAACACTTTTAAGGGGATCATGAAAATTTTAACGTCCACACGGTCAAGATTTAAGGGCGCGGTCAAAACGGATGCCTCATTTTTATAATAGCTGTTTCCCTGCTAAGTATTTCCTAATGTATAACACGACATAAATATCATTGTTAATGATATATTCTAATGTGTTTCGATTACTCTTAATATAAAATCTTACTAATATTATAAATGCGAATGTTTAGATGGATTGATGGGTGGAGATGGATATTAAGAACAAATATAGAACAGAGTCTGGAAGAACTCATAGGCTACTTACAAAGTTTTTCTTTAATTTGCACGGAGTCGCGGGCAAAGGCTAGTAATTTATAACTAAGGTAAATTCTACTTAATTAAATTTGTAAAAAAATCTAGGAATACCAAAAATATATTATTTTTAAGATTAAAAACATTAATATTGCATCATTAGGTAGATACAAAAATATTATTCTTGTATAAAAATGTGTTTTTATACATGTCTTTCGAAGCTGGTAATTTTTGATAACGTCAATATTTTGGAACTATTTTATCTATATCTACGTTTAAATTTCTTTTTTGTAACGGTTCTATAAAATGTAATAAAATAAATTGAAAAATAGAACATAAATAGGAAAACAATTTTATGATTAACACAACTCAATATTTGATAAAAAAAATTGTACATTCCATTTACATGGGGAAAAAATAAAGTTATGAAACGAAGGTTTTTTTGTAATGTTTTACTTTTTTTATCAATTTCCTTATTTTCAGCTGTATCAGGTATTATGTTAATTTTATTTAAAAAAATCGTATTACTATAATATTTTTTCTACTTTTATATATTGTTTGATAAATACCACTATCGATGTAATAGATAATAGCTTTATGCCATTTTCTTGTAATTGATATTTACCGTTAATAGTTTCAACTAGCAGTCGCCCGCGACTCCGGCTGTTGGATTAAAAAACCTAATTAGTAGTCTATGTATTCTTGACTATGTCTTACGTCTTTACCAAATTTCAGCCGGATCCGCTCAGTCGTTCTGAAGATACCTTCAAATAAACATCCATCCATCTAAAAATTCGCTTTTATAATATTAGTAAGATAAATATAATAAGATTAAGTTAAACATATATAATTTACAATTATTCGAATGAAAAACAAAATCCAAATGAATTTAATATTTTATTACTTTTTATTCAAGCTCTGAATGTTACATTTATGAGTCAATACGCGTGATACTTTCCGTGTCAAATTAGACTTCCATTAGAAATGACATTTAAAAAAGAGATTCAAAAAGAAAGAAAAGAAAATTAAATCCAATTCAACTTACTAATATTAGAAAAGTATTGTTAAGTTGAAGAATTATATTATTATATAATATGAATTTCATTTTCCAGTTGAATCATTGAAAAATACCAAGTCTATGTATGTTTTTCAAAATTATTTTAGTAATATAATTTGTAAATACCATTTATTTATAACATTTTTCATTATTTAGACTTCGTAAAAATGTTAGAAGGCAAGGCGAAGACGAGCAACCAACAACAGAAGAAAAGTAAGTAAAAAATATTTGTTAAATACAACTTGAAAATTAACTTTTAATACTTATATTTATTTAAATATAAGCTGGAATTAATCATTAAATGTAATATAAATGATAATATAAAAATCTAGAGAATTAGTCTGCGTCGGATCTTATTAACTGGGAACCTAAAATTCATAATTTCTTCGTGCACTTTATTTCGTAGATGTTAAGATTCCGCTAAAAAAGTTTAATTTTACAAAAACAAGGACATTTGTGTTTACTCTGGTATTTATTTCATGAAATATTTTTTTATTAAAGCGAGAAATTTCAAGATGAGGAAGAAGTAGAGCTGCCTTCTACTTTCGACCCTTACAACGTTAGTATACTGCATATCCACATTACGCTCATTGGCAAAATATGAAGATATTAAAGTTAAAATAGATTCGCAATTTTCCAATTTCATTGGAATTTTATTATAGTTGTAAAAGCGCAATTTAATGTAGAAAAACATAAAAGAAATAAAATCATAGATTATATTAATAACTTAAAATGTTCATATTATGCTGACAATCCTGTCAGCATAATATTTACTGTTCTTACTTCTTACTAATAATATAAATGCGAATGTTTAGATGTATGGATGGCTGTTTGTTTGAAGGTATCTCCAAAACGACTGAACACAACTGGATGAAATTTGGCATACATATAGAACATGGTCTGGAAGAACAAATAGGCTAATTATGTTTGTTTTTAATTCCGTGCAGACTGTGTTGCGAGCGACAGCCAGTCTTCCTTACATGTCTATCAGCCGTCATATCTAAATTTAAACATCTATAATTTCTTTGTTATTTTAGATACAAGCGCAATTAAAGAAGGTTGCTACAAAATTTCCGGATGTCAATATAACGATAGAAGTTATCGGTCGTACTGTGGAGTACAACGATATAGTTTTATTAAAAGTAAGCGAATTACAAAATCCCTCTCGTAGAGGAAAGTACGAGGATACTTCGTATGAGAAGAAGATAATTTTCATCGTCCACGGTTTGAGTGTTAAAGGTATAGATTCAATACCCTGCCTCTCTGAAGTGTCGTATTTCCAAACGCTTCTTCATTATTATATCGAGTTTTTGGATAAGTTTGATATATATTTAATACCTATGGCCAATCCTGATGGAATAGCGTATCCGGTAAGTATTTTATTTTAACTTTGGTATCATCAGTTCTGCTAATCATACTTTTTACTAATATTGGAAATGTTTAGATGGATGGATGGATGTTTGTTAGAAGTTATCTCCGGAACGGCTCTACAGATCTTGATGAAATTTAGTACAGATATAGAACATATTCTGGAAGAACACATAGGCTACTAGTAAGTTTTTATTTAATTCCATGCGGACAGAGTTACGGGCGACTGCTAATTAGAAATAATTAATCAAATAAAAGATAGCTATAAATCTGTCGTAAGCTTAACTCGATTGCTTCTATTATATCTTTAACTTACTACGCGTACTTTACAGCGAGCATTTTGGAATAAAAATGTATCTCCACAAAAAGCTTGTCCAGGGGTGGCATTGGATAGAAACTTCGATGTAGCGTGGAATTTTACTAAGCTGATTAGTTCGTGTAGCCAACATTACCCAGGGTTCATGCCCTTTTCTGAACGAGAGACGCAAGCTATAAGACGGATATTCCATTACCATCACCATAAAATAATCGCATATATTAATGTACACGGAAATGGCTTTGATGAGAAAACTTTCAAGGTAAAACAATTGCAACACGTAGATCATTACTTATTTTATAGTTTGTTAAGTATTCTATTGGTGTAGTTGATTCGTCTCACTAAATCTACACTAAAAATCTTCCTTACTGACGAATATCTCCGAGTATTGTAATAATTGGACAGTATGCAGAAGCCATTAAATATTACACCGTTGTTTTGTAAAAAAGTGTACCATTCATGCAGTTAATTCGATTACAGCAAGGTTTGATTGGTTAGTTTGGAATTAATTAAATCGCAAATAATAATATAATGTTAAAAAGTACCTTACGCGTTTGCTGACTTGCTGTAGCTCAGTATACTTCCCCACTGAGGGGCTTAGAGCCTACCCTAAGTTAGGGGTGACTAAGTCATAGTCAACCACGCTGGCCCAGTGCGGGTTGGTTGACTTCACCTATATCTTTGAATCTCTTCTCAGATATGTGCATCACGATGTTTTTCCTCGCCGTAAGAACGTCGAATAAATGTACATATTATATGTCAATCGGAAATCGATAAACACATTGGTAAAAGACGGGATTCGAACCCAGGACCTGCAGATTGCAAGTCAATTGCTTAACTCCTGAACCACCGACGCTTTAGTATTATATTGTTATTGCATAAATTTATCACTATACTTCCAAGTTACGCCTGTAACGAATATCGGTTTAAATTATATATTTTTTAATTTAATTCTGTTCAGACAATAATGTTTGAAAAATCATTTAGTTTTTGATATGTACTTAATTAACCTTTTGAATGCTAGGGTGAAGCAGTATTGTACCCGAAAGGTTATACAGAATTTCAAGAAGATGATGACCAATATATCGACTTGAAGGGAGAGGTTGACGAGGCGATCAGAAATGCTAGCTTTCGTCTGATGGCGGTTACAGTCGACACTCTTTACAGCTGGTACGGCATTATCTGTGGCGCTAGTGTCGACTATGCTTCTACGGTAATACAAACATTAATTTTACATTTACGACTAGTGACATTTTCCCGTTTCCTTTTCGTCACACCCTTATTATCCTTCTTGTTTCTAAAAAAAATGGCAACACATCTCCAGACGTCACTTATTATACAAAAAAACACGTTCCTTGTTACATATTTTATTGTATAAAATGAACTCGCTAGGCGTCCGTGGCACTTAAAGTGTTAATATGAGGCAATGTCTCTTTCAGGTATTTGGTGTACCTTTCTCTTTGGAATTTGTGATGCAGCCTTATTCCGCTGTATTTAACTACAACGCATATCAAAACGAGGTGGCATACGATTCATTGAACGCGATATGGGGTCGTATAATTCGTGCCGTCTTCCAGTATATATGGGATAGCTCTCGATACATAGAAAAGAGACGCCTCTCTAAACTTATTAGGCATCCAAGAAAGTTTCAATTTAGAAAGCATAATAGAGTTTGATTTTAATTACTTACAAATTATTTTAATTAAAATAATACATGGATTAACGCAAATCAAATGTTTATGTGTATCTTTCTCAAGTAATAAAAGAGAATAAAGTGTACTTTAGATTACAAGATGGCGTCCTGTTAGTCTGGCAAAAAACCGAATGTAATGATAGTTAAAAAAATATATTTATTATTAGAAGTCAAAACTGGACTCACGAAATGGAGTTTTGTCACTTTCTCTTCCACTTACACCTTACCTTACTTGGTGCGTCAACGAAACATTTTCCATAAACGTTAGTTAACCTTTTCGCTTTGTTTGCAATACAATACGCGTAATGTAGTATCAAAAATATTATAAGAGTTTATTAAATACGTAATGTGCATTGTACAACTATTTTGTTTCTACAATTAATTCTTTATAGTACAATAAAGTAAGTGTACAAGTGTGTCAGTTTAGCTGCTAATGCTGCATACGAAATAACCCAAAGAAAGTAAAATTTTGTTACCTTAGTAGTCAAATACCATAATGCTTGGAATGTAATCCGGGTCATAGCAGTTTCAATTTAGGACATAATATATAATCAAAATATTTATTATAACTAATGCAATTTTTAACAATAAACTAACAAAGAATCTAATGCCTTAAATATATGATATAAAAGAAATATTAAAAAACGAATAATTTACAAAAATATTATATTAAAAGGAGTCCCTTTAGGCAATATATAATCTAATATATATAATTGACATTTATACTGACTTTACCGTCACAAAACAGTTATGCATTCCGTCAATTTATAGTAGGACTAGGTATACTAACTATCAGAATTGCTACTGAATATGGAACTAAATGTCAGATTTAACTTCGGTCGGATTGTAAACTGGCGAAGTGAACAAACGATCGGTAACTTTACACGTAGATTATACATTGTTGGCGCCATCAAAAGTATATACAGGACCTAAATTGCTTCTTACTAATATTATAAATGCGAATGTGTGTATGTATGGATGGATTTTTATTAGAAGGTGCAAAACAGCTCAACGGATCTCGATGAAATGTATCTTTATGTAGAACAGTCTGTAGGAACACATAAGGTACAAATTAAGATTTATTTAAATCGCGGACGGAGTCGTGGGCGACAGGTAGTAGTATATAATAAGAGATTAAACACAATATTAAAGAGATGGGAACAATGACGCCCGTTAGTGTGTGGGCGACGTGGCGGTGCGGCGCCGATACCATCAGTGTCACTCTAGTTCATTTAACTCGACATGTTCACAATCACAATCGCTTACTTTCACACGCGGTTTCGCTTATGGAATTAAAATTAACACTTATCTGTTTTTTGTAGCTAGTTGTTAAATACTCTCCTGTTTGTACCAATTTAAAACCAAAACTATTAACATACAAATTAAAAGCATAATTAACTAATCACTTAACATAAAAGAATCAATTAACAAATAAAATCTTATAACATTTATTTAAAAAAAATACAAAATTAAAAATGTATAAACATAACATGGCTTTACGTTATAATGAATTTACCGATAAAATTTTAAAAATAAAAAAAGGAAAGTTATTGATTAAGTGAAAAAATTGTCGTAAAACTTTTCACGGTAACCATTTTAATTAAGCTTAAATAATCGTGATGTTATGGCAATCAATGTGGTCCTTAACTGGATATCTGGCTAATTAGGGTGAGAGAACCGTTACGGTAATTTGGAGATTTGAGACTACTTCGTTGTGCGCGTGCGCAGTTAGTGCGCGAGAGGCCGCGCGGATGAACGCTTGCGCGAGCTCTTAAGTTACATCAAAAACATACCTGTATATTTATTTTATTTATTTAAATCAAATTAAATTATTTTAGTCTTTTAAGTGACAGTTTTTAAAATGGCTAACAAAATTAACAGTTTAATTTTCGTATGGGGTAAGTGACTTTTTTAAAAACATTAAAAAGAAAATCACTAAAATATATTAAATTTACTAAGGCAATTAACACGTATACTATTTTAAAAATAATATTTAATTATTTAATGTGACAAATTAATATTATATATATTATAGTTTAATTAAAATTAATCGCATCTGAAAGAATGAAAAAAAAATCTTAACATTTATACACAAATCACCATTCTTTAGTCACAGAACCTAGTTAACAATGTGTGTTCAGTTCCGCTTGTTCCATATAGGACGTCCACTTTCTCTCAAATGATTTTATAATGAACAATATATCGCCTTGGTTATAATATACTATGAATCAAATGATAGAACAAAATTTTAATCATTAAAAATGATTACACTTTCGTTCGAAGTATTTTTTAATGATTTTAAGATCATTAGTCTGTTGCCCATTAAAAATCTTACTAATATTATAAATGCGAATGTTTAGATGGATGGATGGATGTTTGTTTGAAGGTATCTCCGGAACGGCTTAACGGATTACAATGAAATTTGGCACGGATATAGAACATAGTCTGGAAGAACACACATATACATATTAAGTTTTTTTTTATTCCGCGCGGACGAAGTTGCGGGCGACAGCTAGTTATAAACATAAAATCATGTTGGCAATATTATTAGTAAGCATCTAAATATTATTTGTACATTATTTTAAACTATTAAAGATTAAGTAGCATTTTGGGATCGTTTTATACAGCATTTATACAGCCCTAGAAAAATATTTTGTTTATAATTTTATTTTGATAAAAAAACCGGTGAAAAGCAAAATGTTTCCAGTTTTAAAGCTTAGAAGTTAATAATGTTACCAGATTAAGTAAGTCGTTTTCAATCCATGTGTACATTAAACTGTTGTTAATATAAATAGGAAAGTACCTTTTTACGCCGTATTTTTGTTAAGTGTTTTAAAATCTACCAGTTACAATTGTATAGTGTGATAACAGACTAAATTAATAAAAAATCTTTCAAAATTACTTATTAAAATGAATTAAATGACGACCAGACCAGATGCTATTTGAATAAAACGATTGTTTGAAAAAGAAGTATGTCGCAATACTATAACTATAGTGTTATCCTCAGTATTGTCGTTGATGGCTACTAGTTTCACAAAATAAACACGAAACTATAGTTAAAAAAGGGTTTTGACAGACAGACGGACGGACAACGAAGTATTCATATAACGGTTCCCTTTTCTTCCTTTCGATGTAAAATAAAATGTCCATAAAAATTGCAATTACATTAATTATGTTTATTTTTTTAAGAGCAAAAAAATAAGCTATATTTCTGCGATAGTAGGAAATAAAAGCGGTCGCAGTGACCAGGATTACATGAGCGTAACAGAAATATCTAGTTATTGTATTTAATAAACAGCGTGTTAAAAACAATGTTCTATTACTCGTATTTTCCATGACGATGTTATCGCGTGAAATTAATCAGATTTTCTTACTACCATAAGATTTATGCTACATCAAGAATTATTTGTTACTTCAAAGTACAGTTAAAGAATAACAAGCATTCAATGTTTTTTAATTTTTTTATATTAAAAACTATGTCCGAGTGCTCAAATAATACGGAAAATCATAAATTACAAGATAACCAGTGCAGCCGTTCATGAATTTCAATAGAAAAACTGATATATAAACACGGCTAAACAATCACGTGGCGGCACCGACTAGTTTCGAGCCCATCGGGGGCCCTTCATCAGGATGAATGGTACTGGTATTATTTCACGGAAGCGGCCCGTGATTTAGCCGTGCTTATATATCAGTTTAGTATAATGTCTCACGAAAGTTTGAATAATTTAATTTCAATAGAAGATCAAATCGTATTTAAAAAAAACTTGCTGATTGTTTTTTCTAAACTACCATTGGCTAAGCGAGCCAGAGTTTAAGATGTATGAAAAATCATATCAAAGAAGGATTTATAGTTAAGCGCTGTTTTCTCATTTCGTTACTTCCGCAGCGTGAAATAAAAAGATACTTTTTATTTTACTTGTTCTTGTATTCTTTGGTGACCAGCAATACTTAATGGTGAACATATAAAGAAATGTGGTAATAACATAGAGAAATCAAAGCACCAAATAATTACAATAAATTAAACGTAGAACATTGATCGTCTCCGGCCACAGAGGTCAGATTATTTGCGTTGAGCGATTCTTTAATTTATAAGGACATTTATCGTGTTTGGCTTCGGGTAATTGAAGTCTCTTTACATCGGCCGACGCGATTTGGCTTCGCCCGGACCAATTCCGTACCGATTGATGTCAATAGGGCTGCTCTTTGATCGAGCAAATGAATCCCTGATAATTTTAATTTAATAAAAGACGAAGTTTTTCGATTGATATTAGCTGCATAGGCCGGCGAGAGAAAATTAAAGTCAAATTATAAAAGACGTCTCTTTGATGGGATTATTACTTCTTGGTAAATTATAATTTTAGTATAAAAAAAATAATTTTGATACTTGTCAGTATTAATATATAATAATTTTCTGTTCTGTTCATTTTAATATAATTTGATTTTATATGACTTCATCTTAAAATATCATAAAGATTATTTAATTAATTTTAATGAAAGCGCCAATAATTTTGTTATTATACAACGCACAATCCAGAGATATTAAGAGTGCTTATTTTATTGTGGAACAGTAAACTATTTATCTATGCATTTTTATTATGTTTTTTTGTACGTTAGAAATTGTGACAGTTTACATACACGCTTCAATTTTGGTACAAACTAACTTCAAGTCTAACAGTAACCGTCCAAAATTGAGTTGTTATAGTTAAATATGACGTCAATTTGACGATTGTTAAAATAGTGCAACGAATTTTTGCGCAACCGTAGATTTAACTGATGTCAAGGCGCTGGTTAAAGATATAGTTAATTGATGCAACTAACCCGTAGCCTCATATAATCTTAAACAAATAAAAATAAAATAACTAAAACAACGGGCTCGCGACGAATCTTACCTTCTCATAATTTGTAAAAAGCCATTTTTTTATTAAAAAAATCCCAAACATAGTAGGATATTATAGCTTTCTTCGCTCGCCCTGATAAGAGGAACGACTGTATATTACAGATTATATGTACCTCTCAACCTTTAGGTATTATAATATTTTGGAGGCTTGATACTTAGTATCGAAATTTCACGAATGTCTTTTGTTTAAGGAATAATTGGACTATGGACACAAGTAGGCTGTGGAGAGAGTAACGATAAATATGACAAGTAAGTTAAATTAAGTTAATTTGTCATATATATATATATATATATATATATATATATATATGTGTGTCCTTCTCCTGGCTCTAAGCTACCTCCTCACCAATTTTTAACAAGCCGTTCTTGAGTTATAAATAGAGTAACTAACACGACTTTCTTTTATATATATATACTACTATTTATTCATTTTTTCGAATTTATGCCTTGAAGAGCTACTATTTATTTAACTTACTTATATTTTTATTGCTTATTAATTATAAATGCGAATGTTTAGATGGATGTGATGTGGATGGATGGG